ATTTTGGTGTCATCAGCGAATTTAAACAGGTTACTTTCCACCCCATCATCTAGATCGCTGATGAAGAAATTGAACAGCGCAGGCCCCAGGACCGAGCCCTGGGGGACTCCGCTACCCACCTCCCCCCAGGTCAAGTATGACCCATCCACCACCACCCTCTGAGTGTGACCCTTCAGCCAATCTGCAATCCATCTGACTGTGTAGGCATCTATGCCACAGTCGCCTAGTTTTTTTAACTAGGACGGGGTGAGAGACGGTGTCAAAGGCCTTGCTGAAGTCTAGAAAGACTACATCCACCGCGACACCTGCATCCATGGCCTTTGTGACCTGATCATAAAAGGCAATCAGGTTGGTCTGACATGATCTCCCCCTAATAAATCCATGCTGATTGCCCCTGTCAAGGCCAACACTTTTATATTTACTTATTTAAATTTACTTCTGGAGCAGATGCTGGGCTATGGACTGCCACACTCAAGAGAGGCATCTGGCATGGGAGGTCTTCAAGATACACTCTTGTTTTCAGCATTTCCATGTCATCTAGCTTTAGGCATTTTTACATTGACCTTAGGCAGCTCCTGGTTCAGCGTGATGTCTGTCTGAGAGTCTCACTCTGAGATACCCAGCTCCCACTATGCCAATGTGCCTAACACAGTGCTCCAGATCCTACTCCTGAGGCCAAGCACTCAAGTCTTCTATGAGATTTCATCAATGGATCTACATTTAAGAAGAAAATGCTCAAAATACTAAAGGGATTTTGGAACACAAACTACAATGGAAGTTAATAAGTCTCAGGTGCTCTTAAACCTCTAAGGTGCTTTTGAAAAATCTCCCTTTTAGGTACCAGAGACTACACCCACAAATGTGGTGCCTTGCTGTTTACTGGAATCCATAGTAAGGCATCCCATACAGTGCCTGAGAGGAATGAAGAGCCTACCTGGTGTGACTCACTTTCAAGCTCTCTTCTCAGAGCTCTTATTTTGGGGAAAAAAATTACATATGTGATGGAGCAGGAACTAGCGCTCAGGTTTGTAGAAGTCTTTCATTACCATGCCTTAGAGCAGGGGTGGGCAGAATATGGCCCAGGGGCTGTATCTGGCCCACCAAGGGATTTTATCCAGGCTGCAGCAGGTCCCTCAGGCCTGCCCTGCCCGGCGGCAGCCTGGTCCATGACAAGTGCAGCCAGTCCCACTGCTCCCTAGTGCACAGTGGGGCGGGGGCAGCATGATGGCCAAACTGTGCTTCCCAGCAACTTCAATGGCAGCAGCTCCTCATGGCTGTTGCTGCCACTCTCCACTGCTGCTGCCACACCTGGCCCTGCTGCCAGGACACCCTGGTCCACCCTGTACCCACTACCAGGGGCCCTGGTGGAGCAAGCAGGCAGGTTATCCATGGAGGCTGGCCCAGGATCCATTCAGGCAGGGTGTGCTTGGTTGAACAAATGAGATAGGGAATCAATGGGGAGCAGTATTGCAGGGATGGGGCCAGGATCCCAGGGCAGTGACAACGTGGGGCTGGGGCCTGGGGCAGAGCCACAATTTGCTGTCCACATGTCCCTGTGATTGGCACTGGTTCTGCGGACAGGGGTGTACAGAGAGCAGATTGTGGGTCTGTCCTGGGCTCCAGCCCCGTGCTGTCACCACCCTGCAATCCCAGCCATGACCCCTCCCGCCCGTCCCACTCCCAGATGCTGCTCTCTACCCACCCTTGGCCCTATCCCATCCACCCAGCCTTGCCCACATAGGTCCCAGGCCAGTCTTCATGGAGACCCCAGGATCATTAGACAGTGACAGCACAGGGCCAGGCCCTGGGGCAGAGCTACTTAAGGAATTTTGGTGAGTGGTTGTGAGCCAGGAAGTGGCAGATGGGTCAGAGAGAATTGACACAGCCCATGACAGCTCATCAAAACTCCCTAGGTGGCCCCTGAGCCCAAATAATTGCCTACCCCCTGCCTTAGAGTCACTTCTAGTCTCTCTTTCACTGGGCCAATGAATAACAACTTACACTAAGAGGAAGAGTTCCCCCAGGAGCAATTATATTTGACTCACTCTGGAATACTCGGTAGTCCAATGCACTAGTTCCACTGGCATAAGAATTCAGATGGGCATCTGGGGCAGCTGCCACACACAGGGGCAGAGGTGACTTTCAGTTGTCCCCAACTGCTGGTGCAATCATATGGCTGTGGTAGCAGCCAGTTTTTTCCACCTCTCCATATCCCAAGGTGGTGCCTAGAGCAGCTGTGCCAGCACCCTTCCTTAGTTACACCACTGAGTCATTCACAACCTTTTTAGACTCAAGACCCCCAATGGAAAAAGTCAGTTCTTAGTTTTCACTCTATTTTTGACTACAGAAAAATAATGGAGCAAGTCTTCTGTTGCAAATAGCTCAGAAAGACCACAGCAGTTAGAAAGTTTTTCACACTATTTATTCCTATTTGAAATCTCTGGGTTCATCCTGTGAATCATGTTTGCACACTTTACATGCCATGGAACTGGCTGAAAAAATCACTGGTCTAATGGCTAATGGACTCCTTTGGGGAGTAGGATATCTGCCCTCAAGAGCCTGCTCCAAATCAAGCACCAGGAGGATAAGAACTAGGGGCATTTATGCACATGCTCCAGGGTGGAGGGGGAGCACTCTCACAGCCACTCTAATTAAAGCACCTGCAGCCTCATCTGTATTCAGTGTCCTGTGCTTCAAAATGGTGGCAGGGGTGCTTTAACTAAAGCTCATTTGATGAGCTTTAGTTAAAGCTCCCCCGCCACCATTTTGAAATGCGGAGATGCTGAATACACACGACACAGAGGCTGCTGGAGCACAGTCATTAGCATGCTCCAGCAGACTCACAGCTGACTCAGTTAATCGAGTCTGCTTTGACACGTGCCAATTAGCACATGTTGGAGCAGTGGTGTGTCACAAGTATAGGTGCCTTAGGTTTCTTTTTATGTACCAGAATGCTGTAACTTCTAGGCTGTTGCCTTCTCATTGTTTTTTGTGTATGCTCACTTTGCTCACTAAATTCCTACCAGATTTGGCTCTACTTGGGAGATAAGCAGAGAAATACTTGCTTTGTGAATCCTTCCATGGTTTCAGTGTGATTTGGGTGCCTAGCTGTTCAGGGCCTTATGCACAAGATGCTAATAGCTTAGGTGTCTAGGAACTTTGGGTACCTATGGAGTTAGGGAGCAGATGAGCAGGGGTTTTTTGGATCTTCAAGGTGCATAAATTTCTTTGTAGCTATAGCCCAAGTGTAAAAATTGAGCTCTGTGTGTGCATGTGCATTCCCAGCTCTAAGGAATCTTACTCCCCTTTGATCTAGCTCTTGTCTTATTTCTTCCATTTCTGTATCTTGAGCTTTGAAAGCTTACAGACTATCACACTGGTGTTATTTCATTGCTTTTTATCATGCTTCAAGCTCACAGCTTGGCCATTTTGTAACAGCTGCTTGTTTTTCACAGACTAGGAAGGACCATATGTTTGATATCAGAGCTTTTAGCATGGTTTAATTCAACAGGTGGCAAATGCATCTTTGTTATTAATAAACTGCTATGTCAGTCCTACACTACCTGCACTTGGGCTCCATGAATTTTCTACTTCACACCATGAGTCCAAAACAGTAACTAGAGACCCAGAAGCCATGTTATCTGGGAATCAAAATATACCTAACTATCCCCATTTGTTTTTACTGATTTCACTGATACTATTTGTCCTATTAATCCTATTCTGGTTTCTAATGTACAAAGCTGTATCTGATATTCTAGGATTTGTCATCTATTTCAAGATGTACTGTACATTATTAAACAGAGCAGCAGTCTTAAGTGTTGACATGCTTTATCCAAGTTGACCAAATTATTGGCCACAACAATGATTCACTGTTTAAACTCTATAGGTGCTGAGGTTTGTAATTAACTTAGGGAGTATATAGCACAATTCTACATGATCAGGTCCCCTACAAAATATAGTGGCAGCTCTCTTGTAAAATGCAGGTGTGCAGACTGCCACTGCTACCTCCCCCTTTTTACACAGTAATCTAGTGGACAAGGCACTCATCTGTGAAATGGGAAACGTGGGTTTAATTTAAGACCAATTAAATTGGACTTAAATTTGCCAATTAAGACTTCTGCCTGAGGGGATTCAAATCCACACCTTCTACGAGGTTATTATGTGGAAGTCTGGGATAGAGGGGGCAGTATGCTCCAACTCTCCTTACCATGCAAAGAATTCAGGACTCTTAAGGCCAGAGAAAGTAAAGAGCATGCATGATTCTGTAAAACAGCATTTAGGGCACTGCCCTGTGTTCTAGCCCCTGCTCTCACCACTGTCTCTCCTTTTTGTATAAAACTGTGACTGGATAAAATAATGGAACAGATCTGAGAGTAGGTACTAGAACCTGAACAGTGAGTTTCAAGACACACCCCTGTCTTCAAAGTATCCTGCTGGCTAGCTCTTGCCAGCTGCAAGATGGGTATGCAAACTTTAAGCAGATGCCTGATCAGTTCTCTACATATTATGCATCCAACTCTCAAATGTCTAACTGTCTCCATGCACTGTATAGCATGGAGTTTGGAACATCACTCAGGGGTCTGGATTGCACTCTTGAAATGCTACAGTGCCTACCTTTTAGGCAAATAAGTCCCTTACTGGATCTGGCCTTTCCCCTTTGGGTAGCAGAACCACTTTCATATTCATCCCTTTCATGCACAGTTTTAAGGTCTCTACTTTAGTTGTACAGCAAAAAACTAATGTCATCTTTCTTGCTTGCAGCCAGCTTGAAACTTCCTAGTTTAAGGAGCCAGTTAAGACAAATGGGTGATAACAGCTAGTCAGAGAAGATACACCTGGTTATTGAAGAAATAAGAATAGCAATTATGCAAAAGCTTGCAACCTGATTGGCTTGTAACAGCTGTCAGTCAATCAGAATGCAGGTTTTACAATATTGCAGTGCTATTGAGAAATAACTACCTAGTGATTATGCAAATCCAAGTTTAGGGAGCTGGGTATGTGGGAGAAAGGCCCTATATTTTTTCTCAATAACTGTACAGCATATCCTCATGTTTGCACTGGATGAAGTAGTTTTATTTCAGCATGATTATGTTTTGGCTTAAATAAAGCCATTCAGGTCAGGTCAATATTTATTCAGGTACACTAAAGAAGTCATAAGCCCAAATATTTTATCTGGGTGCTTGAAGATATATTTTTAAATCCACCTTCAGACACCAAAATAAAAGTAGTTTGATTATGAGATGTGCAAGAGGGGCACAAATCCCATAGTATGGATTATTCTTGAATCCTGGAAAGCAGGGCTGTAAGGTCATTCTAATTTTCTGCAGTCACCAGCGGAAAATGGGCCTTCTCCATGGACAGGTCTAGAATGGTGAAAGCAGGGTGCAGGTGGTGAGGTACCTTATCACAAATGGAACAACACATACTTTTCTCCAGTTAAAAATAAACTAGAAGCTTTACTAATATGGTAGGTGCCTAGCAGAAACAAATATAACCTCATTGGAAGAGCATTTAAAACAGTCTGCAGCTCTGAAATATGATGAGCTTTATCATCAGGAGCAGCTAACAGGCAACAGAACTGCAAAACAAAGGATAGCTTGAGAGGTAGAACATCAAGACCGTTCAAAACATCTGTGGAATGAAGAGTTTAGAAGGGATCAGGTGCATTATATTGAGCCATGAAACCAACGGACTCCCTCAGCACTGCCTGACTAGAAATGCTGCTCCCACCTCCAGCATGCTAGTTTTAAACTTTGGGTGGAGCAGGAATCAAAGTGGGGGCGGGTGCAACTGCACCAGCACACCTCCTCTGGATCCCCCTCTGGCCTTCTCCCTTACGCCCTTTAGCAAACCCTAAGGTCAGGTGAGAACAGCCTCCTGGAAGTACCGGCAATGTGTCAAGTCTGCTTCACAGAACCATGTGAAAGATAATTCCCAGCAGTCACTCCTCAGCTCTTGAGCTCCCTGTCTCTTGAGGCCCTTCCAAACTTAAGCATGGACATCACTCTGGAAGACCTTCGTGTTTCAGCAGATGTTTAGCCTTATGCTTAGAGGGCTTTTGTTTTAAGATGATCATCTAGTTACCTTTTAAGTTGTTGTTAACCTGTTGTTCATTCTCCTATTTTGTAAGTTATTGTTTCCCTTATACGCTGTCAGTTTTTTGGGGGGAAGGATGGCATATACATTGAATAAATTGGCAAACCTTGGAAACTGCTGTTCTAGAATACTGCAATGACCACATAACCTATGTTAAAGAAATACTACTAGATTATAGCCCTGATCCAAAGTTCACTAATGTCAGTGGGTTTCTCTCCATTAACCTGGACTTTGGAGGAGGGTCCTAACTCTGCATCCTACTTCCAGCTGGTAAGACTCAGTCTTGATTGCAGTTATTTTTATCATATTGCACATACTGCCCTTGATCTTTAAGATGTGCCTATTTAGAAATAAAATGCATCAGGAACAGACAGCTCTTTCTGAAGAACATTATTCTGGAGCACACTGTAGATTTAGTTAATATGAACAATACAAGCATTTGGGGAGATGTGTCCCCATTTATTCTGCAAACCATACATACTTTCTCTTGTACCATCAGCAGTTAAGTTGCAGCATAAAAAAATGTTATCCTTAATTTGAGTCCTAGTGACTATCATTTGCTAGTTTAAGGTGAGCTGTTGATTGACATGTGGATATGGAAAAAATATATTTGGAGATGGAACAACTATAGCAGAATACCCAAGACAGAAGAAACATTATTCTTAACAAGACAGCACTTACAGAACAATGTCAAAGAAGAAAGAGGCAGAAAACTAAACAGTATTCTAAAACTGCATCAGTGTTGAAAAAGAGATTAAACTTTGTATGAACTATGAAACTTTAAAATCAAGTGAAGCTTCAATGTTCAGTAATATCATCTTTAAAGAGATATGCCAAATAGTTTGGGATGAATTCAAATATTTCCTCAAACTGCGACAGGTGCAATTGGGTTTGGAGAAGCTTGGTAGTGTAGGAGGATGTCTCCAGAGTAATGGCACATTTAAGACAGAATGCTGGGGAGGGTGGGACTTGACAGCGAGCACTTTCTAATAAAAAGCTAACACATCAAATATGTTTTATAGAGTAAATAATGGGAATAATATTACCTCAGGAATGGGACCAAATTAAGAACAATATTTTTATTGTTGTTCTGCATTCTTGAGATGTTAAGTTAAAATGAACATCTTCATTATGAATGGAGATATAACCAACAGGCAGTAACAAAGCACAAAAGTGAATATGGTTCTTTCTGGTTTATAAGCACAAATGAGACTGAACATGCTATTGACTATGCTCTGCTTAGCTTCAGGATCTGTCCAACCTGAGTATGCTAAGAATAAAATGTATAAGACATGTTCACTCTTGTACAGCTAATATAAAGACCAGGCAGAACTACAGTCCACATGTTCTGTGGAGTTTAGGGGTCCTATAACCCTACTATCTTGAGAAGTATACAGTAGGGGAGGAAGCACAGTTTTCATACCCACAAGAACTTTTGAAAACTAAATCCTGTGTCAAATCCTGTACTTATTCAGGCAAACCCCATTTTGATTTCATCAGCTGAGTTCATGAGTAAGTACTGAAAAATAAATCTTTTTGATATAATTTTAGTTTCTGTCAAACTGCCAAATCCATGCCTGAAATAGATTTTTAATATCATGGCTTTTCTCTCTTCAACTTACATAAGGTCCTAAATTACTTAGGACTTGAACATGTCGGCACAGGCAGTCCTTAGACACAACACAATTGGTTCCTGAAAATGGTGACTTAAGTTGAAACATTGTAACTCAGAACCAATTTTCCCATAGGA